TGTTTTGGCTTCTACTTCTTTTCTTTTCTTCGAGATTTGCATTACTTTCATCCACATGGTTCCATATATATCATTTTCATTTACACCAAACCTTCTAGGTATGCATTACTTTCGTGTACCTTGGGCCTCTCCAGATATGCTCTTTTATGCATAGATGTGCATTACTTTCATACACTTTGTTCGTTCTGTTTTCTTGATGCAGATAGCAGTTCGAGCTTTATTACATCCTACTCTCATTTCCCTTCTCCTTCTCCTTCCCCTTCTCAACCATTACAAAGGTTTCAAGCTCTTTCAACGATCAATCAGTGTCTTCTTACTACGAAAACTAGCCCCATTGTAGCCAACCATTCTCGATGCCATTCCGTTGATATTGAGGAGCCGGTGGATTGCCTTGGATCCTCTCCCAATGTTTCATATAGTGCACAAACATTGAGTCGAGCCTCTAGTTGTAAAAGCTTGCCAACAGATTACAAGTCATGGGTTCCTGATGAAGCTTCATCATCAGGCACATTCAATGATTATGTTTCATGTGAAAGTCAGGTAATCTATCTGCTATTTGCCTTGGCTTGTTGTTGAAGGTGTCGTTTGGAGAATAATGTTCGAGTTCGGTACGGTCGGATCAATTATTGAGATTGATAGTTTGACGATCCATGACTTTGATGTTCGCGTTATGACATTCATTTATTTGATGTTTGAATGATGTATTTGTATGTTTAAGTTGTTTACTTGCATTGGCAGGCGGATGTCAACTTTGAGCTTGAAAAGTTGAGAATTGAACTAAGACATGCAAGAGAAATGAACGCAATTTCTCAACAAGAGACGGCCAATGCGTCTTTGAAGGTAGATGTTATGTTTGTTGCGTTTATAGTTAATGGCACTCTCTATAGTGGTTTCCTACTCATGGTTAGAGAGATAGTTGTTCTTAGCAACGGAACGAAACACCCTTTATAAGGGTGTGGAAGCCTCTCCCTAACAAAAACGTTTAAAAACCGTGAGGTTGATGACAATATGTAACAGACCAAAATAGACAATATCAGTTAGCAGTGGACTTGGGCTTTTACAAATACGTAACGGGCCAAAGCAGACAATATCTGCTAGCAATGGGCTTGGATAGTTACAAATGGTATTAGAGCTAGACACCGGGTGGTGTACCAGTGAGGACACTGGGCTCCTAAGGAGGGTGGATTTGAGATCCCACATTGGTTGGAGAGGAAACAAAACACCTTTTATAAGGGTGGGAAAACCTCTCCGTAACAGACGCATTTTAAAACCGTGAGGCTGACAGTTGTTAGTTGTTAGCTTAGGTGGTTACAAATGGTATAAGAGCCAGATATTGAGCGGTATGTCAGCAAGAACGCTGACCCCCAAGGAGGGTGGATTGTGAGATCCCACATTGGTTGGAGAGGGGAACAAAACACCCTTTATAAGAGTGTGAAAACCTCTCCATAACCGACACGTTTTAAAACCGTGAGGTTGATGATAATACATAATGAGCCAAAACAAACAATATCTACTAGCAGTGGGTTTGGGTCGTTACACTACCGATTGTATACTTGTTAGGCTTCTTATTTGCTTATTACATATAGCAAATTCAGGGTGTTATTGCTTTTGATCAGGTGAGGCATCTAAATAAACAACGATCAAAAGAAGCTAAGAAGCTTGAGGAGATGAACAATAAAGAGGTATCTGCTAAAGAATTTGCAAGGGAAGAGAGAGCGAATGTTGAAGCTTTGAGAAGAGAAGCAAAATTTGTAAGAGAAGGTGCTGAAACAGAGGGTATCTATAGGAAGGAAGCAGAGACGAAAGCTGTTCAAGATGCCAAAGAGAAGGGAAAGCATGAGAGTGCTCTTCATGGATATCTGCAGCAATACCAACATTTTGAATGGGAAGATATTGTATGTGCCGCATCATCTTTCTCTGAGGATCTTAGGATTGGAATGGGAGCACATGGAGCAGTTTATAAGTGTAATTTGCATCATACAACTGTAGCAGTGAAGGTTCTTCACTCTAGAGATGATCACAAAAAGACTCCATTTCTTCAGGAGGTGAGTGAATTATTCTAAATCGGATTTCGTTGTGTTCTCGATAAAAAAAAATGAGGCCTTCTAGTTATTTCCTTGATCTCATATCGGTTCGAGAAGGGAACGAGGCATTCTTTATAAGGGTATGAAAACCTCTCCCTAGTAGACGTGTTTTAAAATTGTGGGGATGACGATGATATGTAACGAGCCAAAGTGGACAATGTCTGCTAGCAGTGGGCTTGGACTGTTACAAATGGTATTAGAATCAGTCACCGGATGGTGCGAGACATTGGTCGGAGTAGGGCTAGACCCTCTCCATAGTAGACGCGTTTCAAAACTGTGAGGTTGACGGCGATACGTAATAAGCCGAAACGGACAATATTTGTTAACAATGGGTTTGAGTTGTTACAAATGGTATCAGAGGTAGACATTGGACGGTGAGCCAGCGAGGACGCTGGGCCCCCAAGGGAGTGGATTGTGAGATCCCATAATGGTTGGAGAGGAGAACGAAGCATTCCTTATAAAGATGTGGAAACCTCTCCCTAGTAGACGCGTTTTAGAACTGTGAGGTTGACGGTGATATGTAACAGGCCAAAGCGGACAATATCTACTAGCAGTGGGCTTGGGCTGTTACAAATGGTATCAAAGTCGGTCACTGGACGGTGCAAGGCATTGGTCGGAGTAGGGTTAGACCCTTTCCATTGTAGACGCATTTCATAACCGTGAGACTGACGACGATAAGTAATAAGCCAAAGCGGACAATATCTATTAGCAGTGAGTTTGGACTATTACAACGGATTTCAGAGCCAGACACTGGATAGTGTGCCAGCGAGGACGCTGGACTCCCAAGGGAGGTGGATTGTGAGATCCCATTTCGATTGGAGAGGGGAAGGACCATTCCTTATAAGGGTATTCTCTCCTTAGTATACACGTTCATGAGGCTAATAGCGATACGCTGAAACTTTGCTTGATCTTTTGTTCTGCTATATTGTATGATTATCCTTACTGAACTGATATTTATATCTTCTGTTGCCTTTCAGCTTGAAATCTTGAGCAAAATTCATCATCCCCATTTACTACTACTCCTTGGTGCGTGTCCGGACAAGCACTGCCTGGTTTATGAGTACATGGAAAACGGTAGCCTAGAGGATAGGTTGTACCGCAGAGGCAACACACCTGCAATCCCATGGTATGAGAGGTATAGGATTGCTTGGGAAATAGCCTCTGCTCTTGTCTTTCTACACAGCTCAAAGCCGAAACCGATAATCCACCGTGATCTTAAGCCTGCAAACATCTTACTCGACCGAAACCTCGTGAGCAAAATCGGCGACGTTGGTCTATCTACTGTGCTTAATTCAGATCCTTTAATGTCTACTGCATTCAAGGATGGTGGACCAGTTGGTACTCTATGTTATATAGATCCTGAGTATCAACGAACTGGATTAATCTCACGCAAGTCTGATGTTTATGCTTTTGGAATGGTGATCTTGCAGTTACTAACTGCAAAGCCAGCAGTAGCATTAACCCATGTGGTGGAAACAGCCATTGAGAAGCGCTCCTTAATAAAGGTTCTTGATATTGAGGCTGGGCATTGGCCTATCGAAGAGACGTATGAATTGGCGAGATTGGGACTTTGGTGTGCAGAGCTACAACGTAAAGATAGGCCCAACTTAAAGGAGCAAGTACTTCCCTTGTTAGTGAGACTCAGAAAGGTTGCTGATGAGGCTCGCAATTCGGCCTCCACAGTCCCTCCTGCAATTCCTAATCATTTCATCTGTCCAATTCTTCAGGTATGATGGTTAGTTTTTCTCGTTCATAGTTGAGTCGTTTGTCTCTTGAAAGTACCTACTAATTACAACAGTATTGCCTTGTCCAAAAAGTTGTATGATTCTTGAAATCTGGACTTTGCATCTTTAGACTTGTTCTTGCTCGATGAGAACACAAGGAACTAGATATGGACAGTTCCAATAAGGTCTCTTTCTTGACCAAAAATCTATCAAGAGTCAAGAGACGGTCAATCTTCTTAGAAGTTTAACAGCTTGTTTTTTTTCTTCTATATGGCTCCTATGTGTCGGGACTTGAACTGTGGTGGTACTCTTCTCATGTAACAGCTAAAGTCCACCACTAGCAAATATTGTCCTATTTAGGCTTTTCCTCGAAGTTTTAAAAAGCGTTTGCTAGGGAGAGGTTTCCATTTGTTCTCCTCTTCAACTGAAGTGGAATCTCAAATTTCATTTTTTGAATATACCTATTATCCAATAAGTCTGTGCAAAGTGCATATCAGGTCATAAGTTACTTTTTGCTTGTTAGTTTCTAACTCTAACCTTATACTTTTTCTGAACATACTATGCTATTTCCGAACAGGACATGATGAATGACCCTTGTGTTGCGGCGGATGGATACACATACGATCGTCGAGCAATAGAGAAATGGCTCCAAGAGAACGATATTTCACCGACGACGAAGTTGCCACTGCTAGATAAGAATTTAATACCTAATCAGGGTCTTCTCTCTTCAATTATGGAGTGGAACTCCAGAAAAGACTAATGGGAAGCTACCAACCTCCATGGATGAGTAGCCACTATTTACCTTCAACTTCTTTCCCCATACCCATTATAGGAAATCTTGACTTGCAGAGAAAAGAATATGATCCTGCACAAAACTTAATAATAATTCTAAACTATTATATATAAGAGACAATAATCAATGATTTTGACTAATTTTTTTTAAATTTGGATATGATTACATCCAATTCATGGGATCCCAACATTCTCATATAACATTAAAAAAATTGAGTTCCTTCCCTTTAGTCTTACAATACAAAATTATATATATATACGTACTAGTCTCACCATGAATTAAATTTAATTTTGATTCATATTAATTGGAAGATTTTTCTTATTTTGATCCAAAATTTATATACAATTATGGATTAATGCATGTTTTTCAGAAATTTGGAAGAAAAAAAAAAGGAAGGAATAAATCGGCCATATCCAAATTCTGTAGATTGAAGAAAAAATAATAATTAAAAAAATATATCGATCAATTACTCAAATTCATCCTAAAAAATTCAACTCACAGTAACGGTTAGCCCTCTTTGCCGCGATCAATCCATCTCAATCCTTCCGATTTCTTCAATCTTCTCAATAACTTCCTTGAAATCCGGCCGCCGAATCGGCGAAGAACAACAACAAGCCTCGCCGATCTGAAAAAGGCATTGGAGATTCCGCTCTTTCGAAACACTGCAATCGCCGCCGTCTCCGCCACAAGCAACCGCAGTTTGATTCATTGTCTCTTTGGCGGAGAGCAACTCGAGTAAGATCTTGCCGTAGCTATAGACGTCGGTCCGTTCGTCGGCGTCTGTCATCTTAACCAGTTCCGGCGCATTGTAGCCGGAGGCGGAGGAAGCTTGGAGCAATTCTCGAGTTGCGGCGGCGTTGAGGAGGAGATGGAGGCCGAAATCGGAGACGTACGGCTCGAAATTTGGATCGAGAAAAATGTTCATGGGCTTGAGATTTCCGTGCGGTACTGGTTTTGGTAATCCATGGTGGAGATGATCTAGGGCTTTCGCGATTCCGAGAGAGATTTTGTAGATGATTTCCCAATTTTTTGATTCTGATTCTCCCACTGTTCAATCACAAGAAATTATCATAAGTGCTGTTGTATCTTAGCTTTTCCCCTTCTTAAAATAAATATTTATTTAATAATTTTTGAAAATTCTAACGTACAATTTTTTTTTTCTTTTTTTGCAAAATCCATTTTATTTCGGTTTATTTTATTTAAATTTTTATACTTTGAAATTTAAATTTCACTTTCCGATAATTTCAATAAATTAAATCTTAAAAATTGTCTTTTAAGGTTCATTTACAAAGAGAACAATTGGAATATATTCCCTAATTTAATTTCAAAAAAGAAAAAAAAATAAAGAAGATGAATATATTCTCTAATTTAACATATAATAAAGTTTTTCGAGATTTCTAAAATATAAATTCTTTATAAATAAATACTGATAAAATAAACTTAAAACTAAAATTAAAAATAGAAAAATAAAAATAGAAATAAAATAATTATTATCGACCTAATGTTGAGATGACTTACAAAATTTACATTTTAAATATAAATATAAAGAAACATAGGTAAAATGAGAATTAAAGTTGAATATGTTAACTAAGAGAAATAAATAAATAAATAAAAACAGAAAAAATCTAAAGAAAAAATGTCAATGCTATGGCTAATATATGAGGTGGATAGAGTTTTTAATTTTTCTTTTAATTTTATTATCGTATTTTCAACCTCAATAATGCATTAAAAAATTATTTTCCTTCAACATTTAATTAAATTTTAGATATTTTTCATTTTATATTTTAATCTCTAATTTTTTAAAATGCCTATTAAAATTTTGGCTTAAATTTAATATTTTTTTAAAATATATATATATATGGTAGAAAAGACAAATAAAAAACGCGCCCGCCGGTCGAACCGGAATCGTCGTCTTCTCTGATTCACCCATGGAAAACCAACAGCAACCGAAAGCCAAAAGGGTTACCGACATTACCCCGATATTCACTCAATTTCCCATCAGATTCTTTTCCTTTTCACATTCTCGAGAAACAAACAGAAAATCAAAATCAAACTTACCTGTAATGAACTCTGACAGATTCCCTCTGCCATAAAACGGATGAACCAGAAGTCTCTCGCCTCTCCCGCCGGCGTAAAATCCCAACATCGGCACCAAATTCCGGTGCCGGATCGAACCCAGAAACCGAACGACGTCGTCTACACTAGATTCCACGGCGGCAGGACGGAGGAACATGAGTAGTGTAGCTCTCTGTGTACTCTGTAAGGAAGCCTTGTATAGAGTTCCATAGTGGTATTTTCCGATCACTTCTCCCGGAGCTTCTAGAATCTCGTCGATCGTCAAATCCTCGCCGCCTTGAAAAGTGGTTAGCTCCTCCACCGTCGCTGCCGTTGTGTCTTGTTTTTTCTGGTTGTTGTCCGGCGACGGGTTTTCGATGTCGTGTCTGTGGTTTGATTTGGAGAGCTTATGGCGGAAAAAGAAGATGGAAAGTAGGAGAAGAACAAAAATGGTGGCGGAAGCGACTATAAGGATTAATTTGAGCATGTGGGTTTGTTGAAAAAAATCAAATTTGAATTGGGAATGGAACAAAAATGGAGGCTTTTTCTTTGAGAAAACAGAGTTTGTTGAGTTTGAAGGGGTATGGGTTCATAAGGGGGAAGGAGAGGGAGATACTTAGCGTGTGTGCTAGGGGAATACATCCATCCAAACAAGAACATGGACCCCAACTTTTGTATATTCCATTACCAAATTTCATAATTCACATCAAGATCAAGTTTATAATCAAGGAATACTCCCACCATCGAGATTAGGCCTTTTAGCAAAACTAAGAGCCGATGAAAGTCCTCCCACCATTGAGATTAGACCTTTTGGAGAAGTCCAAAGCAAAACCAAGAGCTGATGAATGTCCAAGCTAATTTAGGGAATGAACATGAATTTATAATCGAGGAATAATCTCTTCCTTCATTTTTGGTTTTTGAAAATGACCCATTTGAAATTTGGAGTAATAAAATAAATGTAGGAGTTAGGAGTAATGGCATCCATGACTTCATATTTAAGATTTTAAATTAAGATTTGACACCTAATAATTATCATATTCTCAACTTAAATACCAAATATCTTTCTTGGTAAGCCTTGCAATTGATATTGTTAACACCTGAACATAGAATGAAATCAATGTCGTTCTCAAAGTTAATAAGATCTGAAGAGAAAAAAAAAAACTAAGTTAGTTCATTCATGTATTCTTTTATTCAAGAGATTATAAGGAAAGTTGTTTTTTGTCTATGTAACTTTCTAAAACTAGTCTTATTAATATATTTAAACAAATAATCAGACAAAACACATTTAATTTTAGAGTTGTTAATGAGTTATTTGAAAAACTAGTCAACAATATATATCCAATTCATTTAAGTTTTTTTAAATCATGATAACATATTTGCATTATCCAATTCTCTTTCATTTTCTTATTATTATAGTTTTTTTGTTTTTTTAGGGACAAACAGGGAGAATTGATCCTACAAACGAGAGAATGAGGGACAAATGGGAGAATTGATCCTAGGAGCAGGAGAACTACTAGCGCTGCACAAAACCATCACAAAGGTTTATGTACAAAAAACAAGCAAATCGAAGATATGGAAAGAGATGTTTTTATGTTCAATCAGAAACATCACCAAATTGCCTGAGTTGCTCATTATTATGTATACATTAAAGAAAAAGGTTGCTCATCGCTGTTCTCATGTCGGGTAGGTCGAGTACGAATCTAGTGAAGTGATTAAATGTATATATGTCTATTGGAACTTACAGTATAAACAATCATCAACACTACTAAATAACAAAAGCTTCTATGGATGAATCTTAACTGTATGTTCTATTCGACCTCCAATACATATTTACAAGGTTTTCAGAGATCGTAAATCCTCGTTGAATTAATTACATTTCATGAATATACATATATATATATAATATGTTCACGAAATGTAATACATAGGATTTGGAAGTTTGAATGAACGAACCGATACTGAAGTCCCCAATAAATCACTCCATTGGTCACCCGAGTTTCCAATGATTCGTAATCCTTCGATCTCCATCTCGCTCCGCTTCTCAGATTTGTAATGCACTGCTGACTTCCCTTGGTCCTCATCTCTCCTGTGAACAGGATCAGGATGAGAAGACGTTTGGATGAATCCATAGATCATCATCAGGTTAACACATTACACAGTAGCATACACTGACCTTAATATAAGCCTGTCCCAGTCATAAAACCCTGCGTTTATCAAATTCTGTATTGTAGCTTCCCTCTGGCGTTCGCTCCTTCCAGTAAGCAAAACTATCTTGAATCCCAGATCCATTAGCTCTATATAGAGTTTTAAACTTGGCTGAATAGCAGGTGCTGTAGCCCTCAGGACCCAGTTATCAAACTCATCAGCATTAAAAACCTGCGAGCTGTGACATTCCCAACTTTGCATATGAATTCTAAAATGCAAAAGTGTTCCAAGATCTTATTTCATGAAATATTAGATATGTAGATAAAGTAAGCTACGTTTGTTGCTGTTGGGAAAGGAGTCCTACATCGGCTAAGGGGTTTATCATGAGTTTATATAAGTAAGGAATATATATTGTTTGTGATTTCTAACATGGTTTTAGAGTCATGCCCTTAGTATAGAATCCATAGAATCCTCAAACGTCGAACAAAGAAGTCATGCTCTTAAGTATAGTCAGCTCTTAACTTAGTCATGACAATAGAATTTTCAAATATCGAAAAGTTGTAAGCCTTGACTAAGAAGAGACCGTTCGAGGGCTCCATAGGCCACATGGGAGGCTCTATGGTGTATTTCGTTCAAGGGCTTTAGAGAAGGAGTCGAACTTCGATTAAGGGGAGGCTATTCAAGGGCTCCGTAGGCCTCAAGGGAGACTCTATAACGTACTTTGTTTGAGGAGAGGATTGTTGAGGATTGTTAGAATAGGAGTCATACGTTTAGGAATAGGCATAAGAAATTATGCTTAAAGTGGATAATATTGTACCATTGTGGAGGTTCGTGATTGCTAACAGTTTTGCAAATCATAATCTAGAAGGTAAGAGAGCATATGATTTAATATCCCTAAACCTAAACTCAATAAAGAAATTCAGCTACGTCCCAAAATTCTGTAATGTGGTTATCTACTTCAATATTATGAACAACAAATAAGAACACAGAAGTTCCAGTTAGCTCTAATCCAAAAGCCTCATGATACCCAAACAAGTCAAGAACGCACTCTTCAAAATCCATAGTGATCGTAAAAAATTGAAGGCAGCATACAGAAATCTGAACAGAACCAAGAAAATCTTACCCATAACCATGGTCTCCGTAGTAAGGAAGATTAGAAAGCAAGGTCTCGTCGATGTCGAAAACCCAGACATCCTTTCCATCGCCAACCAATTTCACACTCTGGGCAAAAATCTCAGCCTCCGTCGATGCAAGTTCCATTTCAAGTTGATAGGCACGACCGGTTAAGTACTCTTTCACATAATCAGAACAATCTTTAGGAATCGTTTTCCACGGATTCAGATTGTTAGCCTCCACATTAAATCTCCAACTATCACACCTCAACTTGATTTCTCCATCCAGTTCCTTCAACTGATTCTCCACTTTATCAGGAAATTCAAGAATAAGTGGCCTAGGAAGGAGATGAGAATCGAAAGCTTCATGAGCGAAGGCTACAGAAATCACGCAAACGAGAACAATATGTCGAAGAAAATCCATCTTCAGAGGAACAGGGGTGTGGATCTATCGAATATATAGTTCTGAAATGAGAATCAAAATGTATAAACAGAATCTCAGATCTGTGAAATGAAGGGAAGGATGATTGTTGGTTTGATTAGACGAAATGGGATTCTTGGATTAACAGTAAAAGGAGAAAATGGGTTGAGAATGGGTAACCTCTCTGCCTCTCCTTGGTGGTGGTTTGGTTTGATGGAGAGGGCGAGAGGGTTGGTGGAAGGGAAATTGGCTCGTGGATTAAGCGAAGACGACGATGAATTCGGCTGAATGCAGAAATGGCGATTGGAATCTGTATTATATAGGCAACTTTGTCTCCTTTTTACTTGGGTTTTTAGGCGATTTCAGCCCTACATTTTGATTTTATCCAATTAATCTTTCAATAATATTAAAATACCAAGTCAACCTGTCTAAATTAATACCTTAATTTCAAATTAACCATCTGTTTTCAATAAATAGTAAAATTAATAATTTTAAATATACAAAAAAAAAATATAATAATTTATAGATTATCTCCCAACTAAAAGTATCCAAGTAATTGTCAAGCATGACAAAGAATATTTGTTAATTTAAAAAAAAAAATTGAAGAAATTTATTTTGAAGTATTTAAAAAAAGTTGTTTTTAAATATTTTTAAAAAATTAAGAATATTAATAAAAAAAAATTTAAAAATCTTATTTTTGAACCAGTTTTAAAAGATGGAGCTTAATTTTAAAATCTTTTTTAAAGGAACAAATTATTAATCATTTGGTAATTATATTTTAAAACGTTCAAAAGTATTATTGATAATTTTGATACCTTCGAGACAAAGTGAGATACATTGATATTAGTTGGATAATGGAACCAAATATTTCTTACGTGTAAATCTCTTACTAATGAACAAAAGCGGATAATTTCTGCTAGTGGTGAGTTTGGATTATTACAATTGTATCAAAGCTAGACACCAAGCGGTTAGGACACTGAGTGGATTATGAGATCTCACAATCTGAGATTGAAGGGAAACATTTTTTACTGAAATGTGGAAATCTCTCTCTAGTAGATGAATTTTAAAATCGTGAAACTGACGATGATACGTAACAAAACGAAACAAACAATATTTACTAGAAGGTGGGTTTGGATTGTTACATTAACGTTTTAAACTTTAATATAAACCCGATTTACGAAACCGTTAATTAAATCATAAACCTTTAAAAGAGTAATTAATGGGACCATACAAACACAGAGCTAAACACAACGTAGAAATGGGCAAGACTTTCAATGTAGAAATGGGCATCAATTAGTCCAACCCCGTGGGGAGTGTTGGCAGTTCGTTCATTATTTAAGTACTCCATCCTTTCAAACCTCCCACTCATCACGTTCACTCGAATGGCATTTCCGCCGCTCAGAAGAACAATGTACGGCTCCTCCTCCTCCTCCTCACCTACCTCGCTCTGATCAACAATGGCGAGCACCGAGAACTTGGATTGCAACGCCGCTCTTACTCCCGAACTTGGATTTGAGACGGATTTGAATCGTGTAAGTGATCGGATGGGTAAGCGGAGAAGGATCTCGAGTAAAAGATCGTTGTTGTCATCGGCGAGTGATTTGGCAGCGGCGGAGGAGAACGGGGTGGTGATTCTGGGTGCTTTGCTGCTGTGCATTTTGAGATGAGAATCGCAAGGATCGGGGGATTTGACGAGATGAATGGTCGTTGAAGATTTAAAGCTATGAGACCATCCTTTCAATCTTCTCCATTAAGTAAGTTTCGAACATCCTTATCGACTAAGTAATAGCTTCGAACTTCCATGGAACTATGAGAGAATTATCTGAATTCTTTTGCTCAATAATTTAGCGTAAATTTACAAGAAAGAACAGGTAGTGGGGAACAATGCATATAATGGCCACGTTTTTCCCCTCTGTTCTTTTCTCTTCAAAAG